GGAGCAGCTATGAAAAACAGTATGGTGGTTCTTCAAAAAATTGAAAATAGAAATAGCACTTCTCCTGGGTATGTATCCAAAAGAATTGAAAGCAGGGACTTAAAGAGATATTTGTATATCCCTGTTCATAACAGCACTATGTGCAATAGGCAAAAGGTAGAAGTAATCCAAGTATCTTTGGACAGGTGAATAAGCAAAATGTAGTATGTTCATACAATGGAATATTATTCAGCCTTTTAAAAGGAGATTCTGATATCTGCTACAACATGAATGAGCTTTGAAGACATTATGCTAAGTGAAATAAGCATGCCACAAAAAGGCAAATACTGTATGACTCCACTCCACTTATATGAGGGACCTCGAGTAATCAGAGTCATGGAGACAGAAAGCAGAATAATTGGGGACTGAGAAAAGGGAGGGAAAGGGAAGCTGTTTAATGGGTACAGAGTTTGAGTTTGGAAAATGAGAAGTTCTGGAGATGGACGGTGATAAAGGCTGCATGAAATGTGAATGGACTTCATGCCACTAAACTGTGCACTTAAAAATGGTTAAGATGATACATTTGATGTTATATATATTTTATAATAATTGAAAATAAAGATACTTGATACATTTTCAAGAGAAAAAGAAATGTTGCAAAATAACATTTGTCTATTACCTCAATTTCCTTTCACTGACATCTTAAATACTAATATATATTTGCACACAGGAAAAATGCTGAGAAGGGTATATCAAAATGTTGATAATCATCACTAGGTGCTGTGCTTACAGAAGAATTTTATTTTCTTTGTGTATCTGTGTGCTTTTCTGTCATTCCCAGTTTTTCTACAATTATTTTTATAATCAAAACAAAAAGTATATTGACAGGACAAATAAGTAGGAAAGAAAAGGACACTCGTCCTTGAGCTGCTCTGAATCACCTGGCTGCTGACCTGAATGCGAGAATACCCACAAGTATATTTCCAAATGATATAATAAATATAATCCACTTTAAGAATCAAATCATAAAAGGCAGCCTAAGTTTGGGAAAATAAAAACGAACTCGGAAGACTGAGCATCAGGGAGTTCCTGGCAGAATCAAACTAGAGACATATGCCTGGTTTTAGGCAATTCCCACAACCCGGGTGGGTTCACCACATCCCTGTGTGCCCAGCAGAAAGGACAAGGCCTCAGAAAGGAAGGACTCAAATCAACGTAGCGCGCTCCCTGGGGCTCAACACTCCCCACCCCCACACCTCTTTTAAGCTACATCCACTTTCAGAAAATATTTTCTAGACAGCAGCCTTCAAGAGTAAAAGGAGCCTTTCTTTCCGTGGCATTCCCTCGCCACATATGGAACTGCTATGAATAGAGGCTTTTATGAGAGAGGGTTCAGATACCACAGCCACGGTTATGCCACTGACCACAAACAACAATAAATAGATGTTAGGGTTAAGATTTCTGTGCAGCAGAGGCACCCTAAATAATTATGATAGAGCTTCCATCACATTCTAACATCCAATAAATGTTTATTGAGCGCCTACTAAGCACAGGGCACTATTTGTAACACCACCCCACACTGACACACACATGCATGCACGCAGTCCCTTTGTTGCGTTCCAGGACCTAGACTAGGGAAGCAATGGTGTTCGCCGGAGGCATTTGACAGTTTGATTCTACATGTCCCACATCTCCTGGACTAGAAAAAGATGGGCAGAGGCAGAGGAAAAGCAATGACCCTTGCAAAGGATCAAAAGGACATATCACTGTACCCTACCACTACAGCCCCTGGAAAAGGAAGCTGAATTCAGCAGAAGGAAGTGTTCAGCCTTCCGAAAACTCGACAGCAGCAGAGCCACTGCAGCCCCCGGTCCTGAAGGAAACGGCTTCACCAGGTTTATCGGCCATGCTGAGAGAAATCAGGCCTCCAAATTCTTCTCCCCACCCACATAAATGAACCACATCAGCCACCCTTTCCTCATACGTACTTTTGCCCCCATTGTTCTTCAGGACATTGGAGAGGTTGACAGAGGCGGTGCCTAGCAGTTCATTTCTTAAGGTATGGCAGCTCCAGACCTTCAAATCTAAATGACTCTGGGCCGTGACATTCCTGGAAAACAAATACTTGATTCATCACATCCAAGCACATCAGTCATTCTTATCGCTTAGAAGAAAACAGATATTGCTGACAATTGGAAGGGGGAAATAAAACCCCAAATAGAAGATGCTCACATAACCCCTTCCCCCACCCCTAAAGCTGACCCTGTAACCATCTAGCTAATAATGATCATTCTATGAGCTCAATGATGTGGGAACACTTAGAGAGAGGCACCTTGGGTACCAAAGGCAGAAGAGTTAAAGGCTCCACAGGACACCTGGATCTCCCACAACCTCCTTGGAGCGCCTTCTCTCTTTCCCCCATGTTACTGCATTCAAAGAGAAGGGATTCTCTCTTACAAAATGATGATCTCATTCCAGAGAAGCTCGGAGCTCCCAATTCGCTTCCCGGTCTTCTTGGTCTCACTGGGGAGTCCATCCACTGCCACTTCCACAAACGAGTTAATTCGATGTTGCCGATTGTGCACCTTGGGCTTTGCTGACACCACTGGATGGGAAAGAAAGAAGTCAAGGATGAGGCAGAGGGCTCCCAGCTGCCCCCCTGTGGCAGATGATCTCACTCTTTTTAGCTTTCTTTTAAAAAATAAATTTTGGGTTTTTTCCTGATTTTAAGAAAACTTAATTTTTAAAAATGTGAGGGCATTAAAAAATATGAAGCGTAATAAATAAAAATCACTCTTAACCTAAAAATAAGATGTAAATCCAGACTTTTAGACTTTCATCTTTTATATCCCCAATTCTTTAAAAATTCTTCTCCTAAAATCCATTGTAAAAGGCTGTAATATAAGCTCATTATAAGAATATGGCATAATTTATTAATTATTCTTTCACTGATTAATAGATTGCTTCCAATTTTTTGCTCAGAGAAAATTACCACAAATGTATATTCAGTATTTGCTTGCATTTCTGAGTATTCTTCCAAAGGATATGAAAGTTTTTGTGAAATTCTTAAAACTGCTTAATTCCTTTCCAAAGAGGGTAAACCTATATAAATGCCCATGAGCGCTATAGATATTATCTCCATTTCACCAAACACTGCATAACACTGAATACCCTGTTTTTTCATTTTTTGTAAATAGGATATAGGTTAAAAAAACTGATAGAAAGATAAGAGCTACAATTTAATGAGTACTTTTTTTACAGATACTATGCTATGCACACATTATCTAACTGAATCCTCACAGTAAACCCCTGAGGCAGGGGATATATCATCACCCACACTTCATCCAGAAGGAAACAGGCTTGAGGAAGCCAGGTCACTGCCCCAGGCTACAGAGCCAGGGAGCTTTGAGCCAGGAGGTGCAACTGGGCAGCCTGAGTACACCTTGCTGTATGCCATTACCAGACTTTGCTTATTTGTTCTAATGCTTTTCTTAAATTACTATTGAGACTTGAATATTTTTCCATGTGTTTGTTAACCATCTGCACTTCCTCTTCATGTGGCAGGATTTCTGATGTTCACTTGGCACCAGCGAGCCAGGGACTCAAAGAGCACAAGCTAAGCAAGTACTCGTAGGAGGCTAGACAAGCTCCTCTTAGAGCATTTGTTAGCTGGGTCGTTGGGATGAAACACATCTAGGCGGCTTCAATCCAATGCCCCAAGCCAGAGCATACTGCCGACGTTCCTTACCCATGATGGCAGGACTATCCTAGCCTGAGCTTCCCTGTGCCAAGAGTTAGCAAACTGCTCCCTCCCAGACCCTTTTGAGAGGTCACAGTCCTATAAGGGCCCACACTTTGGCAAACGACCAACCCACCTCTGGACTGTTTTTAGCAATAGCTCTCTTCTCCAGGCCGAATTGTAGAGAAAAATTCAAAGAACAAAAAAAAAGAAAGAAAAAAAGTTGTGGCTAGGATTCAGGAGCAACAAGGGATGGTACCAGGAAAAAAACCTTGGGTACTGGGAAATGTGGTCCAAAGTAGAAAAATACTGTACAGATAGATCAAGGTTAACTGAGGCCACCTTGTGGTGCAAGAGTTGCTCTACATACAAGCCCTTAATTTTTTTTAAAAAAAAGTTGTGGGGGCTGATTATAATGTGAGTCCTATAATTTTGAGCTAAACAGTTTATTTGAAATCACAAGTTCCAATATTTTATTTAATAATTTGGCCAACTAAGATCCAGGGAGGGGAAATAACAAAATCCTAGAACTAGTAAGAGCCAGAGCTAAGCCTAATTTCAAGTCTCCCAGCCCCCAGGCCAATTCTTTGAACTCTGCCATGACATCCCCTCTTTTGTCCTCTAGCTTTTTTCCCCCTAGGTTTTTTTTCTTCTTTTTCCTTTAAAAAAATTTTACATAACTTCAGCAAAGTTTTTAGAAAAGTTTCAAGAATAATACAAAGAATTCCTATAAACTTTTCATAAAGTAACCCAATTTTTTTTTTTTACTATCTTTGCTTTATTATTGTTTCTTTCCTCTGACTTTCATACACACACACACTTTTTTCCTGAAACTCCAGGAGCAAGGTGTAGATCTGTGTCCCTTTACCCCTAAATACCTCAGGGTATGTTTCTAAAAACGAAGACATTTTCTAACATAACCAGAGTATAAATATTAACTTTGGGACATTTTGCATTCTTTAATACTATTATCTAATGTACAGACCTTATTCAAATTTTGCCAATGGGGGAGGGTCCAATCTAGGATCACATGTTGCAGTTAATGGTCTTATTTTGAAGTACCCAATCTATAGAAAAGTTGAAAGACTAGAATAAATAATTGTATGCTCTTCACCAATTGTTGTCATTTTGCCGCATTTGCTTTTTTCCCCCTTGGTTTTATATCAATGCTATTCAAGAGAACTTCTGTGATAATGAAAATGGACTACACCAGCGCTGTACAATGGACTGTCATGATTCATGTGGCAACTGAACACTTGAATATCGCTAGTGTGTCCTTTTCACGAAGATGGTGCTGAAAGTGAAGAAGGAAGCCCCTGCTCCTCCCAAAGCCAAAGCCAAGGCAAAAGCTTTGAAGGCAAAGAATGCCTTAAAAGGCATCCACAGCCACAAAGAAAAGAAGATCCACACATCACCCACCTTCCGGAGGCCTAAGACACTGAGGCTGCGAAGGCAGCCTAAATATCCTTGGCAGAGCACCCCCGGGAGAAACAAGCTTGGCCACTGTGCCATCGTCAAGGTCCCCCGGACTGCCGAGTCAGCCATGAAGAAGATAGAAGACAACAGTACACTTATGTTCGTTGTTGATGTCAAGGCCAACAAGCACCAGAGCAAACAGGCTGTGAAGAAGCTGTATGCCATGGATGTGGCCAAGGTCAACACCCTGATCAGGCCTGATGGGGAGAAGAAGGCACATGTTCGGCTGGCTCCAGACTGTGATGCTTTGGATGTGGCCAATAAAATTGCAATCCTCTAAACTGAGTCCAGCTGGCTAATTCTAAATATAAAAAATTTTATACTATTAAAAAAAAAGAAATATGGCTAGTGTGACTAAGGATTTGAATTGTAAGTTTAATTTAATTTACTTTAATGTAAATAGTTCTACGGGGCTATAATGGCTACCCTGTTGGACTGCACAAGATATAAATATGGTATTTTAAGTCTAGATTTGTGTGTGTATGTGTATGTCTAGATCCACACACTTTTTTTCCGTAAACCATTTGAAAGTAAATTGCAGACATCATGAGAGATCAGCCCAAAATACTTTCAGAATTCAACTCCTGAGAATAAAGACATTCTCCCATCTAACCATACTACCAATACTATACCTAAAAAAAATTCAGTTTCTCTCTCTAACAAGTACAATATTCATTCCATATCCAAATACCTTCAAGTGTTCCAAAAGTATTTTTATAGCTGTTTCCCCCCACCCCCAATCCAGGATCCAATCAAGATGAACACAAATGCATTTGGTTGTTGTCTCCCTAACCTTTTAAAATGTAGAATGCTCTCCCTTCTTTTCCCAATAACAATGATTTTTAAAGACTTCTACCAGCTGTCATCTAGAATATGCCAAATTGCATTTTTCTGATTGTTTTCTCATGATCAGATTCACACTGAGCATTTCTGTCAAGAATACCACGTAGGTTACATTGTATACTTATCACACACCAGGTTGCCCTATTGGGGATGCTAAGTTTGATCCCTTGGGGTCTGCCAGGTCTTTCCACTGTAAAGAAACATTTCCCCTCTAATTTATAGTTAATCAGCAGGGTGATACAGGGTGAATGTTTCTTTTCCTAAAAGACAAGCCAAATAAAATCATCAAGATACAATCAAGTTTATCTAGAAAGTTTATTTACTGTTTGATGAACTATAAATGCCAGTCTCTTCTACATGGAGTCACATCTTCACATAGGATTTAGCTTTTAAAAGTCAACAAATAAGGCAAAAATCACATATGACCAAACTTACACCCTTTGAAAAGCTCTTGGAAAGGCACCAGAATAGAATATGGTGTATTATCTCTCAACAGGTTTCAAACAGTTTTTTGCTTTGCTGTGCTTTGTTTTTCAGTGTTTCTTAAGTTAAATGTCAGATAAAATGTCTATGGGCCTGATCTAGTTAAAAAGTATACCTCAACACTCTAGGATTACACTAAAAAGAGGCACAAGGGTACAGAGGCAAAGAGAGGGAACAGCATAGTAACATCTCCCAAATTACACTGCAGGCTCTACCAATAAAACGCAAGGGAGGAAGAACCACACACACTATTTAAATTGTTACATCTTTCTCTTTCTCCCTCACCATTTTCCTGTATGGCAATATCAAATCCCTATAGATTAGCTGCATATATAATGAGAAGCACCTATATATCAAGTTAGCTCTTTCCACACTAGTGTGATACTTCACATTGAAGAAAGACAACGGAGAAATCTGTTAGAAGTCAATGGATGTTCCTGATTAATATGAACCCAAAATAGTGACCTCAGGATGTCACCAGGTTCCATGGGCAGTTTTCTGTTTCAACCTAGGCTTGCTAATTATTAGGCAAGGTAGTAAAGGCTGTAGTCCCAAATTCCAAACCCTATCAGTTCACTCTAATCCTCTTCTTCCTCAAAAGGCTGGAGCAGCACAGCAATGAGACACTAAAACAAATAATTAAAATGTATCAAGATTATTTTAAAAAAATAATAACTCAATAAGAAAGAGGAAAAGCATACGAACAGGCAATCCACAGAAAAAAGAAAATACATATTTCCCTTAAATGTATGATAAGATGCTATATATTGCTATAATTAAAGAAAAGCAAAATAAAACTATGCTGAGAAAAACTTTTTACCAATGAGACTGACAATGAAAAACGTTAGATGGCACACTGTGTTGGTAAAGAGATGGAAAACAGGTACGCTCATACACTGCTCAAAGAGTATTCCTTCGAAGGAAGGCAACCTGGCCCTCGAAATTACAAAAATACGTCCTTTGCGATGTATCTTGGAAGGGACACACAGCAAACTGATAATACTAGTCTCCTCCAAGCAGGGACACTGGAGGCTAAGGGAAAAAAGAATGTTAAAGTATGCAAACATATTAAATAACATTTACATTTCAAAAATAATAATGAAAAATAATAACAAGAGACACAAGTTTGCCTCAAGATGACCATGTCGAGAAGACCGAGCTCAGGTCCCGAGTGCTGTCCCCCTATCCGTGGGCATCTCTCAGTCCATGACTCTTCTGCAGAGTTAAAACTTCTGAAGCAACATTCTTTCATTCGAGCAATTTTTATTCAGGGCCTACCGCGTATCAAGTACTGTTCTAGTCACTGAGATATCAAAAGTAAACAAAACAGACAAAAAGTCCCGTTATCATGGTGCTTATATTCTGTTGAAGGAGACAGTCAATAAATGAAGTACATAAAAATAAGTATTGTGATAGTGACAAGGGCTGAGAAGAAAAACACAAAGTAGGGAAGGGGGTAAAAGTGAGGAAGTTGGGGAGAGAGGGGCTTTAGATGGGGAGATCAGGGAGACCTGGTTAAAGAGGGTGACTTTTGAGTACAGATCTAGAGAGAGTAAGGAATGAAGCCAGGTAGATATCCAAGCCAAAAGCATTTCATTCAGAGAGAACAGCAGGCGCAAAGGCCCAGAGGCAGGAATGTGCCTGGCAAAGAGGCCATGTGGCTAGAGCTGAGTAAATGCGGAAAAGTAACAGGAGACGCGAAACTACGGGGTCATATCATGTGGGATCTTTAGCTTTCATTCTGAGTAAGATGCCAGTAAGATGTCACTTGGTGTTCCTGAGAAGAAGACTGACAATAGCTGGCTTACATTTTAACAAAATCACTGGCCGCTGTGTGACCAACAGAATGAAAGAGGGCAAAAGGCAGGTGCAGGAAGGCTGCCGTCTTGGCCCAGGGCTGAGATGATGGCAGGTTGTGGGATGGTGGGGATGGTGAGGAGTGGCTGAACCCCGGATACATTTGAAGACAGCCACCCAGATATGCTGACCAGCTGAATAAGGATATGTGAGAAAAAAATCAGGAGCTCAGTTCCAGACATGTCACATTTTTAGATGTTTACTAAACAGTCAAAAGGAGATGAACAAGTGGGCTGCTGTAATTCAGAGGAAAAGTCAGACTAGATACACAAATCTGGCAGTGATTTCATAGTGGTGGCATTTAAAGTCAGGAGTTTGGATGAGATCACCTAGGGAATGCGTGTAGATGGAAAAGAGCCCTGGGGCATGAAGGAATCACCACTTTAGATCATTTTTGCCAAAAGTTCCTCTTCCCTTCTTCTTCAATAATTCCAGCTACAACATGACAACCCCGAGAGTGAACAGTTACCATCTTAAGCCATTTCACAGAATTTGGCCCTCCAGCCTAAGATGTTGAATAACTCCACCTCTTCCCCACAGTCTAGGCTGGACCTCAAAGGACTAACACTTCACACAGTGCCACTCACCTTTCAAAGTAAGCTGAGACTTCTCAAAAGGCAGGGCCACTCCTGCCCGGCTGGAGCTGGCAGATGCCATGTCATCACCAGGACACTGCAAGACAAACATAGCCGTAGGTTTAGATAATAACCGATAAGAGACTGAGGAACTGGACCCAATGTTAACATCTGAATTTAAAGAGACAGAAGCAAGAAAATATAAACCTCAAAGCAACTGTGGCCATGCTACTTCCAGTACAGTGCTGTGTCTGTCTTACAATGACTATTGAACTGGATGGGTCTTGAGTAGCCTAAGAAGAACACTGTTATATCAAAGTCTGGGAACAGGGGGACTTCTGGTCAAGATGGCGGATAGGTAAACATGGCTTGCCTTCTCGCACAACCACATCAGAATTACAACTAAAATACAGAACAACCATCAGAAATTGAGTTGAATGGAAGTCTGACAACTATGGAATTAAAGAAACCACATCCATCCAACTGGTCGGAAGGGCAGAGATGCCGAATGGGCTGGTCCCACATCCGTGGGCTGGAGAAAATTTGGGAGCAAGGAGTCCCAGTCCCACACCAGTTCCCCCAGCCCAGCATTCCAGTGCCAGGAAGATAAGTCCTCATAACTTCTGGTTGCAGAAACCAGCAGGACCTGAGTCAGTGGAAGAAACCACAGGAGTTCCAAGCAATTCCTCTTACAGAACCCACACATGGACTTAGGCACCAGTGGCATACAGGGAGAAACTGAAGTGTCTGGCATCAAGGTGAGAGCTGGGGAACAGCTTTATCACAGATGGAAAGGCCACTGACCCTTTTCTGAGCCCTCCCCAACAGAACCACATAGCCGATAGGCTGGTGCCATATCTGAGACTCAATAAACCTGACCAACACTGTTTGCCCCACCCTGAGATCCCCAAAGACATGTCCATCCCACTCAATTCATAGGCCCACCCAAGCTGCTTCTCCAAAAGAAAGGCTGGTCTTGGCTCACGCTTCACAATTTCCCAAATCCTCTCAAATAAGCAACAGCCAGCCTCAGTGAGTCCCCAGTACCCATAACTCTTGCTAAGGGGTCCCAAGCCCAGCACTAGCAGCAACCAGCCTAGATTTATAGCTCGCCTAGGAATCTCCAAGCCCAGCACAAGTAGCAGCCATCTCAGATAGCTTTACAGCTCAGTCAGAGTGGCCCCAAGCAAAACACAGGTCAGAGCTGACCTTGACCTGCACCACCAGGGAAACCCCAGGGCCTGCACACCTTGTGGACAGCTACGGACCACATCAGAGAACCACCACCCTACTAATCCTGCACGGAGGGTGGAGGTTGGTAGCAAGAAATCACAGCCAATCTTTACTGCTGACTGGCCTAGCTAAATCCCTCCCATTGATCTGCCAACAGCAACCAAGGCTCAACTACAAGAGGAGGATGTACTCAGCCCACATAAAGGGCACCCCTTGAATACCCAGATTGGGTAATAGGGGAGGCTGTGCCACTGGACACTACAGGACACCTATTACATTAGGCCACACT